AAAAGCTCATTGGGAGCTGAACAGTCAGTTATTGCATCATGCTTCTCATAAAAAGTGACATCTTGGTTTCATTCTGAGAGTTTCATAAACGTTACATTCCTTATTTGCTTTATGCGATCAGTTAGAACATGATAACTACATCCTGTACATGACATGAGTAAAATCAGTCACACTTATGAAACGTTTGAAAAGTGTGAGAAATCACACAGTGCAGTGTACTTTCCACTGACAAGGCGCAATATCACAAGCTTGCACACACACACAAAAAAACCACCTATGTAATGTCTTTTTAATCACACTTACTGTTTTTATTATAAGATCGTCTACTGCTGGGAAATGTAAAACCAAGAAGCACCCAGGGAGAAGAACTTCTGCTTCTGGGGCCTTTTTTGAGATACTGAGAATACTGTATTTGTAATTACAGTAAAAATATGTAAATGACTTTAAAGAAGTAGTTTAGGAAATAGTCATATTAGCATTCGCGAGAAAAACAGGGGGAGACAATGAGGCTTAGAAAATGTAATGGCTGACTGGCTTTTTTGTGTTTTTGCCCTTTGTTGAAGACTATTCCATTTAAAGCAATTGCATCAAGTCCTAGAGTCATACCCATTATAAGATAAGATGTGAATCCTATGTCATGAATGTTCATAATAACTTCATATAAGGCAGGTATTGTCCATGCTCATTTCATGTATAACATTAAGCCACGCCCCCTTATGTAAGGAGTCTGTCTATTGATTTCTGTCATTGAGTTAATCATGCATCGTATCAATCACTCACATGTATTCATGCTGTGGCCAGCCTCGTGAAAAAGAAAAAGTAAAGAATAAACTCTTTAGATTAGCTCCTCCCCTTACACACAGCTGTTTTTAAAGGTTTCAAGAAGCAAAACTGAAAGTGTGTCATCTCTTCAGCTGCAGAGACAAAATGCTGCTCCTCCTGATACTTACCGGGTTGCTGTTTGAAGGTAAGGGACATTTAAATAAAGGGATGACCTCCTCTGCTGTGATTATTACATAAAAGAGACCAGCCTGGCATTTTTTGGCTTTTTAAACTTGAACCTTAAAGATTTGACTGGAGTAAAGTTCTTAGACCTCAATATGTGCTATGTACTTTGGCTCTTTATTTACGGCCTTGTTTGCTTTGTAAGCAAAAGTAACTAAAGGTGTTGAAGTCTCTATATACACACACACAGGTGTTAGTGATTGAGACTATAATTAGATCAACAATATGTTTGTTTGACTGACGGCTCCATTACATTTATTTTGGATAAGCTGTTTGGGAAGGAGGAATTTATTACATAAGAAACTGTCACAGTAGCTCACCCTGTTTGGTCTAATCAGCCAGGGTAATTAAAAACACCTGTGTTACTCTAAACCTGCACTCATTCACTCTGTTTCTTTATTTTAAGCCTCAATGTCACAGATCACCAGTCATGGAAACAAAACAGCTGACTATGGGAAGGATGCATACTACAGCTGTAAAATAGAGAACCCAGCAGGTAAGAGAAAAACTTTGTCCTTAAAAATGTATATTAAAGGTATGGATGGTAGGGAAGTCCATTACTGCCAACAAAATAAAAAGTGTGATGAAAACTCTGCTTGGATAAAATCTCATTAAGATGAGACAAACCAAAGTGGAAACCTTTTCTGTACATGTCAAAAAAATGTCGGCCCGAGTTATGCATAATTAGGGAAGTGGCTGATTTGACTGACAGGTGGATGCACTAAAGCTTCACTTTAGCTTAATAATGTAGCCGGAAGTTAATTGAAGTCAGCATTTCCAATATGTTGCCGGCCATTGCTTGGCTTCATAACGCCTCTTCAGAAACCAATGGGTGACGTCACTGAGACTACGTCCATGTAGCGCACAGACTTTGGATTAACCCCGATGACTTTTTGTCTCATTCTCTGGCAGACATGGGCTTCCATAGGATGACTGTTATACATAACATTTCATGTCATTCACTGTACTGACTGGAAGATGACCTTTTTCCCAACAGGTGTGCTGCAGGTCACGTGGCAGAGACTTTTCAGGGATGACTCCATTGAGAATTTGGCCACTTTCAGCAAACGCTTTGGAGAGCAAGTAAATCAACCTTACGTTGGGAAAATAGTCTTCACAGAGGCGTCTCTGAGCTCAACGTCCATCACTGTGAAGAACGTAACGTGGGAAGATGAAGCCTGTTATATTTGCTCCTTCAACGTTTATCCTGAGGGGTCTCAAAGGAAGCAGATATGTCCTACAGTGGAAGGTAAATGGTAGCTATTAGAATTCTGAAATTGTAGCTAAAGTTTTTTTTAGCCAAAGCTTTTGACTTTTGCACCTTCTGTCAACCTCTTAAAATAGCTCAAACATTTGACTCAGCCTTCACAATGACAAGTTTCCCCCTCTCTTCAAAGGAATTTCAGAGGAGGAAACAAAAGATCTTTCTCCCAGCAGGGAACAAAAGAGTTTGAAGAGGAAGTGGAAATTGTGGTTGGCTGCTCGGGAACAGGTAAACCAGCTCCCACCATTCAGTGGACCTTCCCTTCTGACGCAACACGTTTAGACAAACCAGAGACTGCTGTCACCGCAAACGGGGACCGGACGTTTACGAGCAGCAGCAACATCACTCTGCAGGTCCCTTCTGACTGGAACGGCCATGTGGACTGTGTGCTGAACGAAGGTGTGATGGGACATCGAGTGAAGAGTTTCCCTTTTTCGTTTGGTGGTGACGAGAACGATGGGGAGAAAGGTAGGCACTCCACAAAGGCGTCATTTGGGTGGAGCAGGGGGGGGTTTGTTTGATGAATAAAGTAAATTAAATAATTATCCTCACGGACCGGAAAGGCTGCAAAACCGATCATTAACCACACCCTCTTCAAGTCAAGTCAAGTTCATAATGGGAACGGCTAATGTAGTTGAGCCAGGAACTGCAATCATCATAGATTCTGACCATATTTATACAGAGCACAGATGTTTCATTTAGACCACAGGAGACTGTTTGGAAAAGGGCTATAATATGACCTCATTAATAGAATGTGATGTTAAATTATCATTATGAGAGAATTTTTTACATAAGAAATTGGGTTCCACTTTCTAGTCGACCAAACTCCACAGAAATAAAACGTCATTGAAGTGACATCCTGCATCAATAACACTTGAGCGTCACAGTGCACGCACAACCAGGAATACAGGAAAGTCCCTGATATCCAGTGACTAGTCATAGCGGTGTCTGGGAAGTGTAGCCCATGAAGGATGCTGGTAAGCCTGACGGCACAACAGGACGTATAATCAGTCAGCTGGCTTGTAAGATAAGAGAGTAGTTTCACTTTCACTTCGTCTTTTTTGTTAAAATGGAACCTAAGTCACAGCTCAGGGAGTGACACAGACCGCATGTCTCCACGGCAGGTCATACAAACCAGGGGAACTTAGGTGTGGGCATTTTAACTGCGTGTGTTCATCTGAAATGTTCCCACCTTCCTCTTTCTACAGGCCTTCCTCTTCTTGACATTTTTCCTGAGCTCTAACTCGGTGCTTTTTTTTTTCTCTTAGTCGTGAAACAGCTGTCTAAATCAGGGATCGCCCTCGTCATCAGTTTGACATTGTTTATCATCTTCATCGTTGTTGCTATTGCACTGAAGAGACAGAGGTGAGATATTAAACGTTATGTAGGAAGTCGTATCTGCCGTGTGTGCAATGTTCTGCCCGCTGTATAATAAACATGAACTTTCTTTGTTGCGCAGGTTAAAGAGAAACAAAAGGAATGGAAATGTTCTTTCAGTAACATGTCATAATCCTGTCCTGTCACCGGGGCCTTGAAAGCACCTTCAAAGTATGTATTTATTACATGGAACCTGTTAGCAGATAACTAAGCTATTAGACTTCTATATGATATTTATTTTCCAATGGAGTGCTACAATACTCTGTAGCACTTGACTCTCTCTCTCTCTCTCTCTCTGTCTCTATCCACTTTAAGTCTGAGTTTTGAGCAGTTGACTTTAGCCTTGTCCAGGGTTCAAGTGACTGCAGCAGTGTGCAATAGTTAAACTTGGCTTCAAGCTGCTTATGCGGACAGTTAAAAAGATGTGTTGTGGATCTAAAACAAGAAACATCCTGTCAATGTCACACAGTGAGGCTATACTGCCATCTAGTGTGCTTTATGGGAACAACAGCGACCAAGAAATGAGGAAAATGAGCCGAATACTGCTCCTCAACCATAAACATTTCAGTCTCTTTTTGTGTTTTTGCACTGGAAATAGGCACTTTTAAATCCATTTATTGATTTATAAGTGTGTAATGTGATTTACATTATAATTTAATTCATTAGATTGTATATTGATGTTTAAATGTATGACTTGTTTATGATCAACAGTTTAGCACTTTTCTAGCACTGCAGCACTTCTTTGTTCAATGTGTGTGTTCTCATGTTATTTATAGTTCAAACCTCAAATGCACATTTGCTGTCTGTCTATAATTGCTGCATTGTGCTACTTAAGGTAACTTGAATAATATAATTATAATAATTATAATATATCGCATTCGTTTGCAAACTAATCATGGCTGTGCAATTATAGAATTACAGTGTTTTAATCTCTGAGCTGACTAGAGGGTCTAGTAATGTATTGTTTACTAGGCCTATATTATATTTATTTACGTGTCTCCTTCATTAAATCATACTGATTTCACCTGTGTCTTTCAGCCTTGAGTTCAGTTTTTGACTTTCATTGTGCACAAAAAATAAATGGAATTGAAATCTATTTTCTTTTTTTCCACATACCATCAACATCATTGGAATAAGTGACAACTACGTGCTGAATGCAACAATTTGAAGGATATTTAGATTCCAGATGAGATCCTCTGATTGTTCTTTTTACTTGTGTTGGTTTGGTTTTGTTCTTAAAGTGAAATGTGTTTTACATGTTCATAAATGAACAGCCAGACTTTAGGTTTTCAAATAAAGGCGGAAAACTCTACTTCCTTATTGTTATGGATGTACCATTGAGTTGGCACGGAGGGGGGAGGGGGGGGGCGACAAGCGACACGTGTTGTATAAAATTCATTTTAAACTGCTAGCTGGTCATAATTTAACAAAATAAAGTTATTTAGTTATGAATCTGTTTTAATTACATTAGGCTACTGTACGCATTGGTTGCTTCATGTTTGATGATAATCTGTACATATGCCACCCCGGTCTGTGTGCCACTCATGGCAACCAACGTACCTGGACGATGACGTCACCCAGGTACAGCGACGCTTTTACCAGTTTAAATTTTGGCGGCATGTGTGAGGCATTATGGGTGAAAGATGGCAAACAGCGCACTCTTACGTTTCCTCTTCGTGTCTGCAGTATTTCACAAAGGTAAGAAAAACGTGTTCGGTAATATTTGTGTCACATTTTGCACATGTCCAAGTTATTTAGACTCACCTTACTCACAAAGAACAGTTACAGTTGTTACTGTGTACTCATGTTTACGGCTTTGGTGTATAAATATTTTGGAAGAATGCAAAAGTTGAACAAGTTGATAGTTAAATTTAAGTTTTTAATCAAATCATGCATTGAAAAAAGAAAAGATAAGTGGTGAAATTAGAAAGTTGGAGAAGTGAAACAATTCTATGCTATATTTTCGAACTGAATACACAAACTTTACTAAAAAGAAAAAATGGGTCCCTGAGGACATTTTGTGTATAAAGTTATGAACATATACCACAGAATCTGTACATTTCTACCAAAACTACATAGTGCACCTTTAACGAAGTCATAGGAAGGGGTGGTGTTTAATAAATGAAGGGGTGGTGTGCCAACAGAAATAGAAAAACCTCCCTATAATAATACACAGTCCAGTACATTTTAACCTGTTTTAACCCTCGTGTTGTCCTCCGATTGCAATACACCACCTGTCCTCTGGGGTCAAAATGACCCCGCCCGGTTTGACTGTAATTTAAGTCATATGACATAAATTAATTCAATCAATTCTGTGTTACACCTTTAGTCTGACTTCAGGTCAACCCATTACCATGAATTTTCCATTTTTTTTTTTTCTTTTTAATTTAGGGCCAATAGACCTTGTTTAGATAAAAGTATACCCTGTTTTTGAGTGGAACAAAAAATATTTAGAATTTATATCATTTTGAGTCTTTGACTTATCACAGAGTGGTATATGTCTATGTCTAAGTATAAGTTTAGTGAAGATGCTGTGTTTGAATCATTTGAATTTTTTGAATGGCAGCAAATAATAACACCTGCTGCCCTTTGGGGTCAAATTGACCCTGTCTGGTTTGACTGTAATTTAAAGAATATAAAGTGGATTTTTAAACCCAATTCTGTGTTACACCTTTCGTAACAACTTCATTCAAACACATTAGCACCATTTTTTTATTCCATTTGAGATTTAAGGCCGATAAGACCTCATTTACATGCCTGCATGCGAGGCAGGTAGTAATGTCATGATCTGTATATGCACTGCACTTTTGGCACATTTCCAATGTTTTGAGATCACTCTGGCGAGGGCAGAATTTGCTCCTGTTTTTTGGGTGATGGGCCAGGAGGGGCTGCTGGGTGTTAGGGAGCTGCTGCAGAGGCCTGAACAACCCCCATTATTTTCAGACCATTTGATGAATAAAAAACATATTTGACAGCAAAAGATTGAATTTGGGGTCAGATTGACCCCAGGACAACAGGAGCAACACATTCAATGGGCCCAATAATAAAGAAACATACACTTGTCCTCTCCTTCAGGTCTAAACTCTGTGATACAAGCACAGAGGAATGTGGCTGCAGCTGTGGGAGAGCAGGCCTGCTTAAACTGTCTGCTGATTCAAACCAAAGAAGTTCTTCAAGTCACCTGGCAGAAGATTCTACCTGAAGGAGAGAGGACCGTCGCCACTGACAACCTGCACTTCGGTCAAAGAGTGGACCCTTACTTTAGTGGTAAGGTGGAGTTTCGAGATGCTGGACTGCAGAACACCTCCATCCTGATCAGGGAGGTGACGGAGCAGGATGAAGGCTACTATCGCTGCATGTTTAACACCTACCCTGATGGAGCTCTCACTGCTACGATCTGCCTGAACGTCCATGGTAAAATATGCAACTTTGTCCATAATTATTGTAGTTGAAATGTTGCCAGGTTGTATGTGGATATCAAAACTGGTATATCATGTTGTTCTTTGGCCAACCATGTCAAAAGATAGCACTGGAGCCAGAATGACTACAGATTATTGCACCTGGGCCAAGCTGCTCCAAAGACACTCTGAGAGCATCTGCAGAAAGTGCAGCCATTTCCATAATGTGGGTCCAACTTAGATAAGCAGAGAGTTTGTGTTTATCTTCCATTAGTGTGGATAAGAATTTAATCCAACCAAAGAAAAGCAAAGAATCCTCCATGTGCCTTATTTGGACTAAGACAGCTATTGTTCTCCTGCTTGCCAAAGGTGCCTACATGTCCCAGGATGCATTGCAATGCAACCCAACTGCAAGCTTTAGCATTGTTCTCTATTTTGATAAATAATAAAGTTTGAAACACTTAAAGTATCTCCTGTAACTTCATTCATGCGACTCTTCAAATTGTAGGACAGTTAGTTCAAACGCTGTAATCTGATTGGACGAGAGGCACTTTGATAATGTTTAATTTTCTTCACAGAGCTGCATGAACCCGTCCTACATGTCAGAGAATCAAACTCTTCTGAAGAGGTCGTTGTTTCCTGCTCGGCTACGGGTCGACCCGCCCCCACTGTGACAATAACGCTCCCTCACCAAGACTTGAACTTCTTCCACAACACTTCTGTCTCAGTCAGGAACAACAACAATACAGTCACCGTCACTAAGACAGCTGTGCTCTCTCGTCGTCATGGCAACAGCACACAGGTCATGTGCACAGTGGGGGCACCTATGGCGTTCACAAAGAGGTGTTTAAGATGATCCCTGAGGTCAAAAAGTCAGGAGCTAATAGCAGCAGTCGCAGTAAGTAAATGATCAGATGTAGATTCTTTAAAGTTTGTCTGCATCATTTTAAACATTTTCTCCTCTTTTTCCCCTCAAAGGTAGAACTTTAATCATTATATTATCAGCTTTAACAACCTGTGGTATCATCACTGCAGTCGTCTTCCTCTGGCGTAGACACAAACCTCAGAACAGGTACTTCTTCTAATCAATACTTATGTGTAAGTTTTTAAATCTATAAATGTTTGTCCTCCTCTAACTGTTCTTAAATCCTTCAATCTGTCACACGAGGTCCATATGAATGAGATACCAGGAACTACAGATGAACACCCTCAGAAGTAAGAAACCATTAGTTCTCTTAAATCTGTTACATTTTGTACGTCCTGCCTTCCTCCATATCTTCCTACTCACAAAAAAAACAAATCCTAAAGTATGACTTCTATTGAGAGATTAGTTTATATGTTTTGTTTTCTTTCTCAAGGACCCAAGAGTCTCCACAGGAGAACGTACAGGTCCGACTTCGATCAACTCCTGTGAAGACTGAAGAGAGAACAAACACAAATCCAACACCAGTTTCATCCAGGAGACTGTTTGAGTGATTGATCAGATGAACTCAGTTTTTTGAGTAACTGTGAAAAGCTGTGATTCACAAATTGATGGAAGAGCCGTGTTTTATTTACTTCTGATTTTTTAAGCTTTGATAAGAAAAGTCTTTTAAAAAACATTTTGATACCCTTCTCTGTTTACATGAATTTTAAATCTGTTTTATTTTTTTAAATGTCATTTTTAAATCTGAATGTTTGCCTTTGTATGACTAATAATGTATATAATGTCTTTGTGAGAGATTTTTGCATCTCTTTGAATGAAATTTTGACTTTTTTTTATATAATGATGTGACTGAAAACATTGTGAAGTATTATTTCTTTAGTCATAAATGAATTTGTTATTAAAAAAACAGCACAGACTGCACACCAGAAGCTGCTGTGTTTAATTCACCTGATCAATAGTGTCATATTTCCCCTGAATGAGTTTAATCAACTCAACATGATGAAAGTACAAGAAGAAAATATAACTTTTCATGTATATCTGTCAATTCAAGCTTTGATCCTGTTATTTGTTTCGTGTTAAAATGTTCTAACTCAATGTCAGCTGCAAATGATCAGCAGCAATTACACATTTTGTCCACTAGGGGTCGCTTTTGGTTCATATTTAATTAAGTTAGTTAAGTGTAGCGATTACTTTCTCTTAACCTCATTTTACCTGCTGACTGTCATCTAACAATATCAGTCAGTTTATATATATGAGTTTTAATGACTCAGTCCAGAATCATCTGTTTGTCTGATAATTTAATATAATAATGTAGAAAAAGGTGCAATGGAAGAGCTGAACAGTTGTGCAGGAATGTGCATCAATAACGTGTAAAAACTTACAGTAGTGTCAGCTACTGCATATTATCAACAGCAGTTGCACCTCATGGCCACTAGAGGTCTCTGTTGATCCAGATTTTAACCAACACGTGCGGCTTTCTGTGCTCTCACTTTAGTTTGGTGGTGGGTGAATGAATGATATGGCGCAGCGTGCACTTATTCTCTCTTTATTTGTGCTGACAGTCTCTCAGAAAGGTAAGAAATGTTTAATGCTCAGGCTATAACTTTTAGTCTTTATGTATTTTTTGTTAATCTGAACGCAGCTGTTCCTGTTTTCTAAATTAATTTTAGTTAGTTTACGGTATTTTCGCGCCACATTTCTGGCGGTTTATTTGAAATACTTTTGCATAGTTCCTGGTTTAACTCGTATTGTTTGATATTTTGCAGAGAAAAA